CGCGTAAAAAACCTGAAAACTAATACATGTATAAGGGGTGGGGGAGGGCGCTTTATATTCGATACCTTAGAGTAGCCTACACCATGCGCTAAACTGTTTCTTGGAAATCGCCGAGTCACAGCACATAGGTCACAGTCGTGTGCCGGTGAAATGGGTCATGGTCACTGCCGATAGGCCAACATTTAGAAGCCCTCGACATTGTTGACAGAAAGGTAAATAACGTACCGTAGTTGATAAAGAGTTATTGTTTTGTTAGTCTGACTTTTCACCTATATATATTATAGTCTATGTGTCTGTTTTCATTGTTGTTGGGGCTTTTTTTTCACTTTCATCCTTTCTTGCGAAAATCATATATTATTTGGTTGGTTATTTACGGTAGGCGTAAATAATCAACGGCCGTACTGTCGGGCCGTATGATGTATGTCCTGAATTAAAATGAAATCCGTGATGTTTACATTGTCTTATTTGCTAGGTTTGAATACATAGGACTGGGTGTTTTTGCGTTTATAATGTAAAATTGAAGGAAGTGACAGGCCGATATGGTACCCTTCCACCCTAAGTTGGTCCTGGTGTTTACTGTTGTGACTGTTAAGCCTACAATTTGTAGTTCATCTATCCTCACTGTGTAGGTGGGTGGTTGGCGGGCGCTCTGGTGTGGTTTTCTTCTTTCCTATCAAACATCTAACGTCTTTAGCTCCCCTACCTTCTTTTTTTGTGTTTGTTACTCTCTCGTAACACCTCTAATCTTCAGCACTTATATGACCTTATTGCGTTGCAAGTGCCGTAAAACTCTCTTACTAAAACTATCACTGTGTAGAGTTAACACTTATAAAAGGGTTTAGAAGCACCGACAATGGCTTAAGTATAAGCTCTCTAGTGTGGACCTTGGAAAAGGGAATCTTTAGATACTTTGATAAGAAATTAAACATATTATTATATAGGCCTTTGCAAGAATGGTTGAATGAATCAAGATGCATAGATCCTGCTCAAAGAAAATATATGTAGAAAGAAAAAATGATACATTTATTTGAGTTGTCCTACACATGAACGAAATGAGCTGAGAGGGTATATTAGTAAAGGAAAAATATTTTTAGAGAAAATATGTCAGATATAATTATTTCTCACCATGTTCTGTCAGTATTTTGATATTTTTTTGGGTTCTAGGCCAGGGAAGCTGTCGAAATGCCTTTGCGTCACACGACCGAGAAGAGAGATCATCAGAATCTGCGCCAGTTGGCCCAGAAAGCCAGAGAGGAAAGAGATATAATTCGCAGAGAGGGAGGGGGAGGTAAAGTATTTGCATCTTGTTTTTTTTTTTGTTTGAGTTGTCCTACACATGAACGAAATGAGCTGAGAGGGTATATTAGTAAAGGAAAAATATTTTTAGAGAAAATATGTCAGATATAATTATTTCTCACCATGTTCTGTCAGTATTTTGATATTTTTTTGGGTTCTAGGCCAGGGAAGCTGTCGAAATGCCTTTGCGTCACACGACCGAGAAGAGAGATCATCAGAATCTGCGCCAGTTGGCCCAGAAAGCCAGAGAGGAAAGAGATATAATTCGCAGAGAGGGAGGGGGAGGTAAAGTATTTGCATCTTGTTTTTTTTTTTGTTTGAGTTGTCCTACACATGAACGAAATGAGCTGAGAGGGTATATTAGTAAAGGAAAAATATTTTTAGAGAAAATATGTCAGATATAATTATTTCTCACCATGTTCTGTCAGTATTTTGATATTTTTTTGGGTTCTAGGCCAGGGAAGCTGTCGAAATGCCTTTGCGTCACACGACCGAGAAGAGAGATCATCAGAATCTGCGCCAGTTGGCCCAGAAAGCCAGAGAGGAAAGAGATAGAATTCGCAGAGAGGGAGGGGGAGGTAAAGTATTTGCATCTTGGTTTTTTTTGTTTGTTTTTTCCTCCTTAATACATGTACTTAAACATTGCATATTTTGTTTTAGAACAATGCATTGGGTGGGGGATAGGTTCTCTCACTTTTGTGTAAGTGAGAGGAAGAGAGAGTTTGAAAATAAGATATTATGATAATGGTTTCAGCCTGCCGGTGATAAATTCTTGAAAACTTATCGAAAACTAGTCTACATCTTAACTTAAAAATAATATCATTATCTGACCAGCGTATCACCATTAACAAAATAACCCGCAGATGTCTTTTTCCTTGCAGGATTTTGAAGATTAGAAAAAGAGTATTTTTGTTGAGATTGCATCATGTATCATTTTCTTATCACAAAGAGGACGGACATCTGTCAGTTAAACTGAACGTGTAATAGACCCCTTAATTAGAACACATTTAACTGACCTGCTTTCAGTTGAGCACTAAAATTGATTGTACTTGAATTCAAGATTACCTAGGAGTGATCTCCCCAGTTGTTATTATTATTATTATTATTATTATTATTATTATTATTATTATTATTATTTTTTTTTTATTTTTATTTTTTTTTAATTTATTTTTTTATAGTGAATTCACGGAAGTAAAATGTCACAATTGTTTTTTGGTATCACTTCAAACATGAAATCCTTGTGTGTGGGCGGACTGGGACGAATTGTGAGCTTTAGAAATCTCCATGCGCTGTACCAAATATTTTAATCCATTTGTTCAAGGACTATAGCATTAAAGTTGTTGGCTTTGTGTGCGTCTTAATTTATTTGGACTTGTTTTATGTTTCTGTCAGTTTTGTTTTTCTCTCACAGACATCATCCTTGTACAGGTATAGTCTCCGCCTAAGATTTCAGTGCTCGGGAGCAAGGAAAATGCTAGATCGTAGGCAACCAAGTTCTTAGCTGATGGACCAAGGGAAGAATCCACAGTAAACATTGTACCGTTTCATCGAGTTTTACAATTGAGATGTTATCAAATTCACGAGAATGGCTGACCTGTGACGCAACAGGCAGTCTAATGATCACAGATTTTCACTCTTGATTGATCTGCTGTGTCCACCAAGGTTTTGGTTCTGAAATGCTGAATGTTATATATATATATAGCTGAATGTAGACCTTCATAGAGGGATCTTAGGGGTAACTTTTGTGTAGTCAGAATTCTGTTTTCTTAAATCAGCGGGATCTTCGGGGTCATATGCAGTGGGATCTTAGGTGGAGATTACTGTTTTTGGAAATTTATGTTTTGCAATATTTTTCGTATGTTCTGTTTTCAGATAAAGATGATGTAACTGCTAAACGTGATGAGATCAGAAAAGATCGAGCCAAACAGAGAGCAAGAGACAGGAACATTGCTCGAGCTGCACTAGACAAAAGGTATTTGTCTGCTATTACTAATTAGAACTGAAATATTATTCTGTCATTAAGTAGACTTTTCATATACCGCTGTCAAATCTTTGGATGTTTTAAAGTTTCAGAAAAGGTGCATATTTATATAGTGATGGTATCAAATGAATCACAGTTGAAGCTGTTGAGATGAATTACTACTCTAAACACATGCTTTGATCCACGAAACACACCGACAGGTAGTGCTTGACATTATGTCGCATTATGCTCAACGATGATCCATCACTCAACAACTAAAGCCCAGATCTCAATCGTCATCAATGTCTGATTCCTCAGTCTTGCAAGGCATTAGTTATCCCCAAATTTATTTTACCATTGCCTTCCCTGTTATGATAACCGTGTACTTCATCATTACGGAAAAAAATTAATATCTCTAGAATCCAGTTTGATTTTTTTTTTTTTGGGGGGGGGGGGGGGGTTG